GGGTTTACCTATAATGCGAAGAGATGGCGCTGCCTTGCAGCTTAAGAATAGCTAGAAAGAATTTCGACGCGGTCCGTGAGGACCGCGGTAGCATAATTGGTCAGTGCATTCGCCCGGATTGCGAAGGGTGCGGGTTCGAGTCCCGTCTGCTGCCTGGTCCGCGTGGAATTTTTTCTAGTTATATTTTCTTTAGATTTAAACATCAAGCAGTTACATGCTTTAAAAATAATAAAAATTATAACTATAATTGCTATTTCTTCTTTCAAATGTTTAATACTTGTAAAAGTATTCATTTGACATTGTGGGTTTACCTATAATGCGAAGAGATGGCGCTGCCTTGCAGCTTAAGAATAGCTAGAAAGAATTTCGACGCGGTCCGTGAGGGCCGCGGTAGCATAATTGGTCAGTGCATTCGCCCGGATTGCGAAGGGTGCGGGTTCGAGTCCCGTCTGCTGCCTGGTCCGCGTGGAATTTTTTCTAGTTATATTTTCTTTAGATTTAAACATCAAGCAGTTACATGCTTTAAAAATAATAAAAATTATAACTATAATTGCTATTTCTTCTTTCAAATGTTTAATACTTGTAAAAGTATTCATTTGACATTGTGGGTTTACCTATAATGCGAAGAGATGGCGCTGCCTTGCAGCTTAAGAATAGCTAGAAAGAATTTCGACGCGGTCCGTGAGGGCCGCGGTAGCATAATTGGTCAGTGCATTCGCCCGGATTGCGAAGGGTGCGGGTTCGAGTCCCGTCTGCTGCCTGGTCCGCGTGGAATTTTTTCTAGTTATATTTTCTTTAGATTTAAACATCAAGCAGTTACATGCTTTAAAAATAATAAAAATTATAACTATAATTGCTATTTCTTCTTTCAAATGTTTAATACTTGTAAAAGTATTCATTTGACATTGTGGGTTTACCTATAATGCGAAGAGATGGCGCTGCCTTGCAGCTTAAGAATAGCTAGAAAGAATTTCGACGCGGTCCGTGAGGGCCGCGGTAGCATAATTGGTCAGTGCATTCGCCCGGATTGCGAAGGGTGCGGGTTCGAGTCCCGTCTGCTGCCTGGTCCGCGTGGAATTTTTTCTAGTTATATTTTCTTTAGATTTAAACATCAAGCAGTTACATGCTTTAAAAATAATAAAAATTATAACTATAATTGCTATTTCTTCTTTCAAATGTTTAATACTTGTAAAAGTATTCATTTGACATTGTGGGTTTACCTATAATGCGAAGAGATGGCGCTGCCTTGCAGCTTAAGAATAGCTAGAAAGAATTTCGACGCGGTCCGTGAGGGCCGCGGTAGCATAATTGGTCAGTGCATTCGCCCGGATTGCGAAGGGTGCGGGTTCGAGTCCCGTCTGCTGCCTGGTCCGCGTGGACTTTTTTCTAGTTATATTTTCTTTAGATTTAAACATCAAGCAGTTACATGCTTTAAAAATAATAAAAATTATAACTATAATTGCTATTTCTTCTTTCAAATGTTTAATACTTGTAAAAGTATTCATTTGACATTGTGGGTTTACCTATAATGCGAAGAGATGGCGCTGCCTTGCAGCTTAAGAATAGCTAGAGAGAATTTCGACGCGGTCCGTGAGGGCCGCGGTAGCATAATTGGTCAGTGCATTCGCCCGGATTGCGAAGGGTGCGGGTTCGAGTCCCGTCTGCTGCCTGGTCCGCGTGGAATTTTTTCTAGTTATATTTTCTTTAGATTTAAACATCAAGCAGTTACATGCTTTAAAAATAATAAAAATTATAATTACAATACAGTTTTTTCGGTCTATTAGAACATTTATTAACCATTTAAAACCTTTTTCCAAAAAGGGTCAACTAGTCTATTGCTATTTCTTATTTCAAATGTTTAATACTTGTAAAAGTATTCATTCAAAAAATTTTCGTTATTTTGCTAAAAACCCACGAAAAAGATAAAAGTTACTAGTTAAGATAATAGTTTTTTTATCTATTGTCACGTGGCCCAAAACGCTTGGGATTGGCGGAGCCTAAAGTGACGTCACACGCAAGTAAACTTCCGGTTAAAGTGACATTACATTGTATCGTTTGACGTTTTGATAACAGTCGTGTGACGTCACACACTAGTAAGACGCCATATTGTCCAGTAAAACGTTTGCGCGGCAACTTGAAAGTGGAGTTTTTGATTTGGTTATTTTTACTGAAATACACAACAGAATCATGAATATCCACTTTTTACGGACTCCATAAGCATTAAGTCAATAATGTGAGATCGTTTTCAAAAACTTGTCAAATACCCTACCGGATAGCGAAGGGTGCGGGTTCGAGTCCCATCTGCTGCCTGGACCGCATGGATTTTTTTGTAGTTATACTTCTTTAGCCGCGTTATGAAAAAATTATGAGAGTGATATTTTCATCACTGTAACACAAAATTTTAACATAATGAAGTTAGCCGCGGACGCGTTATTTGTAATATTTTATTTTCCAAGTGACCGTGGGGCAGATTTGAACAAAGCAAACAGGGCAGATTTGAACGGGACATTGAAATGAAATAAAATGAAATGGAATGAAACGGAATGAAACGGAACGGAACGGAACGGAACGGAACGGAACGGAACGGAACGGAACGGAACGGAACGGAACGGAACGGAACGGAACGGAACGGAACGGAACGGAACGGAACGGAACGGAACGGAACGAAACGGAACGAAACGGAACGAAACGAAACGAAACGAAACGAAATGAAATGACATTTATTCAGTCTAGGCTGTTACAAGCACTTGTGAAGGTCAAGAACACAACGTGTTTTAGTTACTTACAAGTGCTAATTACATATGGACTAATAACTTAAATTCAGTAGTGATTTTAATTGAATATTTTGAATATTTATTTAATTTTTCAAATTAAAACTGAACTTCATTGACTGTGTTAACTATCCTTTTCCAGTCCTCTTATTATTTTATTGTAATTATTAATTATTTGCATGCAATTAAAAATATTTTAATGATGCTAAAGAAGTATAACTTCTCACGCGCGTACATAAGTTACACGCATCCATTTTTTCTAGTTATATTTTCTTTACTTCAAAGTTTTTATGTGAATTACAAAAACATAAATAAGAGCAGAAAGTAAAACAAAATAAGGTAGTGTTTGTGTGTGTGTGTGTGTGCGCGCGTGTGTGTATTGTGTTATTTATTATAGTAATTAATTGTGATTATAAAAGAGAATACTGGGTCTATCAAATCAAATCGGATGGAGCGCGCAAGACAGACTAAAGTTTGCGGTGAGTTTTTATATATTATATTTAAGAGATATCTTCATTTAAGATAAAATGTATCTTAAATGAAGATTATTGTACAAAACTTATATGGAATTTACAATTTTTATAGCATTATAAAAAAATACTGGTTTTTTGTATTTCTAACTTATAATACAGGTCACCTCACCTATCTGCCACTGCTGCACAGCTATCATCATTTCAAAGAATTAACTAACTAGTACCTACTCAGTTAATAATACAAGATTTCTTTATTACAAGTAGAGGTACGTGAAAAAAAAACCGGCCAACTGCGAGTCGGACTCGCGCACCGAGGGTACCGTACAAACCTGTAGGTATATTTACGGTTTTCGCAATTTTTCCTTTATCTGTGCTATAAGACGTTGCTTCGTACGTATTTTGGCTGTATGGGCACAGTACCCTTTGCCTTCCCAGAATGGGAAAAGGAAAAAAAAAGTTGCTTCGTACCAAATTTTAAGATTCTGAGTTCACGGGAAGTACTCTGTAGGTTTTGAATCCCTTGCGAGCTCGGAGCTTGTTAACTGCTCCGAGCGAGTTTCGAAAATTTGCGGCATAAACGGCTGTATCTTTTGATTGTGTTGGGTTAGAAGTTTGATTTTTTTACAGCTTTATGGCACAGTTGACCTGAGTATTTGATGTAAGTTTCAGTTTGATACCTCTACGCGTTCCTGGGAGAAAGGGTCTTGACAAACGGACGGACGGACGACAAAGTGATCCTGTAAGGTTTTCTTTTTTCCTTTCGAGGTACGGAATCTTTAAGAGCGAACATAACCAAATGTAGTAGGTACTTACTACGACGACTGGCTTTTTTGTGCAATGCCGACACTTGACCAGTTCTTGTCCTTCGGACAGGCGCAAATAGAGCTTCTCAAAATTCATTCTTCCAAACCAATGTTACAATGGGTGGGAATAAATAAGTCGAAGCTGTACTGATAAAGCGAGTTAGAAGGGATATATTCCACTGGTATGGCAGGTAATAGAAGGTTTACCCTATAGAACTTATTGGAGCTGATCAGAACTCACCGAAGTTTTTGGGTGTCTGAAACCGCGCTGAACGACTCAGCCGTAGTACTATAGACTGTAACTACGGCCGAGTCGTGCAGCAATCGAGTGTTTTGGAGGATCCTATTCTTCAGTTCATATCGTGGTCGCTCAAGTAACTACCTAGGTATTGTCTAAGAAGAAATACTTAGCACTTAGGTTCAGGCTTAGCACTCTACTTGGAGGGCATTCACATGTAAAGATTTCATATCGCCTATTAAGCGGAGACTTAAATTTGCACTTTCGAAATTTTGTCGAATGCAGCTTTATTAAATGGGTCTAAACAGTATAAAAAAAACAGTCGAAGTGGCTACGAACTATGGAGTTACACTTAACTACAGAATCTTTTGAGATGTTAGATGGTCTCGACGTCAGACGCCTGGTAGAGCTCTTTAATACGTTAACCCTCAGTTTTCTTAAAAACGTAGTCATTATGAGGGATGCCTGATAGTCCTGTGTCAATTCTAACCGCAAGGAATTTGACATGATTTTTCCAGACGAAAAATCTAATCAGAGAATCTGAACGATTGCAGAGCAGTTTTGTACCAGTTAATAGACTATAAACCTTAAATAATTTATGTTACTCTTCAAGCCAATCTCCCAGATAGGATGCGGACGCGTTAAAAATAATTTATGTTTTTGATTACAACAAAAAAAATTATTAAGACTGTAGGCTGCACGGATGTAGTTTACTTTGCCTTTCAAAAAAAAGAAAATTATAATAAAACTTTGACATCAGCGATCTAACTAACCTAAAAATGGCAATTTGATTGCATATTTTAATTTTTGGATAAGTTTAAGAAAATGAGCATAATTATCAAGCATTGGCGATCCACCGGTCTGCCATCGAATTTCAATTTAAGAATATGGCGTTTGCACTCCACCAATGCGGACGTTGCTGCGAAAAAGGGAGAGGAAGAAGAAGAGTTTCGAGTGCTTGATATCTTAAAGAAAAGAGATAGAGTGCAGAGGAGAGTCGCGCGGAGGAATGACGTGCAGCCCGACAGAGCGGAAAGAATGGCCCCCGACCAAGTAAGTTTGGTTACGAGGCTATGACAATGGCAAATAGAAATTTGCTATTTGTTTCTTGCACCCGTTCCTCTCATTGGCTATAATATATTCTGAATGGGTGGTAGGTAAAAATATTGGACGATTCAAAAAAGCTTTCAATAAGTCTATTTGAATAAAGTATCATTTCATTTTATTATAGCCCAATGTTCCTATTGCACACATACCAGCTGATTGTGTTCATACATTTTTAACAACATGCTGTAGTGTCTGTTGTTATTTATGTATTTATTAAGGATCACCAGTGAATTTCACAAACAAGAAACAGTGTACATTCTATTTAAGGAGACCACAACATGCAATAGATGAGCAGACGTGATTTTTTTAAAGAACATTGATTCATCTTAATTAATAAAAACATAGTAAAAATTAAAACTAAATTGAATTCACACAAATGTACTAAAAAAACGAGCGAGCCCTACAGTCTACACGTGCAATCCCAATTTGTAAACAAAAGAACAAATTTCTTAGAAAGTTTGGTTTGCATGATGCCGACAGTCGAGTTTATTACGGGTTAAGATAATAAAGTGACAAAAGAACGTACACAGTTGCGAGATTTTCACTAATTTTGGCAGCTTAAAAGGTACTTTTTATTACTTAATTGTTGATGTTATTGAGAGTGGGTGTAATGCTATATGGAGTGTATCATTGTATGGAAAACAAACTAAACCAACCAAAGACGAGTGATTTCGATGCTTTAGGGAGTTTGTCGTTTAATCGAGTGACGTTACATGGAGTTCTTCTTCTTCTTCTTGTTGCTACGGGCGTTTCCGCAACTCGACGTCCTTATGGCGCCTGTTTTGCGTGAGGAGGGTGTATGGCCGGAATCACTCCAGCCAGCCCAGCTCCCCCAGGAACGCCCCCAGGGCCTTCACATTGGTGACTGCCTCTTGAAGGTTTCCCGGTGAGCCGAGGTATTTCGCCCGGTATTCAGCCACTCCGTTGCATTCCAGCAGAACGTGAGTAGCTGTTTCTTCTGCCTCCATGCATCCTCTGCATAGGGGGCTGTCCGTGACACCTAAGTTAAAAAGATGTCTGTTAAAATGTGCGTGTCCAGTGATAGCACCCGTTACCATGCGCAATGTAGGTTTGCTTAGCTGTAGGAGAGTTTTGGAGAAGGCAGCGTTCACCCGTGGCAAAGCGAGCTTGGTCTGCCTGCACGTCTCCAGGTCGAGCCAGTATTGTTGGTGTAGTTCGGCAGTGTGCTCGCGGATTTTATTGACGAGACAGCTTACCGGTATTGGGACGATTGGTTCAGGACCTGTTGGGGTCGTGTCAGATCCCTTCCGGGCCAGCTCATCCGCAGCGTCGTTTCCGCGTGATCCACTGTGTCCCTTGATCCATTGGATGGTGATGGAATTGCTTGACCCTACCTTGTTTAAGGTTTGGTGGCATTCCTGTAGGAGGCTCGATCTGACTAAGCAGGCATCTAGAGCTTGTAGGACTGATTTACTGTCGGACAGTATTCGTATTTCCTGACCTGTTACCTTTCTTGAAAGGATCGCTGTTGCCGCCAGTGTGATGCCCATACATTCAGCTTGGAACACTGTGTTGTATGGGCTTAAGGGGAACGCGATGTGTATGTTGAGGTCCTCAGAGAAAACACCCGCGCCCGTGCTCGATGAGGTTTTAGAGCCGTCGGTGTAGATCATGAGAGCCTTGTGAGTTACCTTTGGATCGTTGTCATCCAGTAGATGTATTCTATACTTTTTGTCAAATATGAAGGCGGGTATTATTTTGTCACATGCAGCATCTATGAGCGGAGTGTTTACCCATTCCTTCAGTATACCGTTGAGATGCTTTGCTCTTTCGAACCTTACCAGTCCAAACTTTTGTAGTCTCAACGCTGTTTTAGCCGCTTCCTGTCTTATGTAGATATGGAGCGGTGTGATGTTTAAAATAACTTCCAGTGCTGCGGTTGGAGCTGTACTCATGCACCCGGTCACCGCGCTGCATATCTGCCGCTGGAAGCTTTGTAGTTTGTTGACACAAGTAGTCTGGATAGATCTCGGCCACCATATGATGGCGCCATAACTTACCATTGGTCGTATGACTGTGTAATATAACCATAGGAACAGTTTTGGTGCAAGACCCCAGCGCTTCCCTAACATTTGACGACATTGCCAAAGTGTTACGCTGGCTGTCTTGATTTTGTGTTCCACATGGTTACTCCAGTTTAGCTTACTGTCAAGTATAAGGCCTAGATACTTTACCTCCTTCGACAGTTGTAGTGTGATACCAAGTTGAAAGCACCTACGTCACGTTTGGTTGTAAACATTACCAGCTCTGTTTTTGTTGGATTAACTGCGAGGTCGTATTTCCTGCATTCAATCATTTTCAGAGCACCTTGCATGGTGTTACAGGTAATGCTGGCGTGGGTGCCTAGGGTAAGTATAGTAATGTCATCTGCATACCCTATGGTGTAGTAGTGGTTCGAGTTTAGCTTGGTCAGCAGGTCGTCAACTACGAGGTTCCACAGAAGTGGCGAAAGGACCCCTCCTTGCGGACATCCTCGTGCCACCAGTGCTCCTCTGCTGTCATCACCTTTTACCCGAACTATTCTATTGCGAAGCATGTTAACTGTCCAGTCAATGATTTGTTGCTCTACTCCGTGTCTCCTGAGGGCAGATTCAATGCTGGTGAAGTTGGTCTTATCGAAAGCACCCTCTATGTCGATGAAGGTTCCGAGGCAGATAAGTTTATTTTGAAGGGCTTCTTCTATCTTACCGACTAACTGATGGAGAGCCGATTCAGTAGATTTACCTGAACTGTAGGCATGTTGATGTTTGTGTAGTGGGGCATTGATTAATGCTCCACTGCGTAGGTATCTGTCACATAGCCTTTCCATTGTCTTAAGTAAGAAGGTTGTTAGGCTAATGGGCCTGAAGGATTTAGGGTTAGTATAGTCGGTTTTACCCGGTTTGGGTATGAATACTACCTTGACCTCCCTCCACAGATGTGGAGTGTACCGATGAGCCAGACATGATCTTAGTATACGAGTAGCCGCATCGACCACGTCCTGTCCGCCCCATTGTAGTAGTGCTGGAAAGATGCCGTCAGAGCCAGCAGATTTGAAAGGCGCAAAGCAGTTGATAGCCCACTTTACTCCCTCAGGCGTAATTACCGTCTCTGCTAGTCTCCAGCATCCTTCTGTTGTACTTGGAGGTTCATCTTGCCAAGTCTCCTGCTCTGTAAGCTGGCAGTCCGGAAAGTGGGTTTCTAGGAGGATAGCGTCGCAGTCAGCACGATTGTGGGACAATGTGCCGTCAGGTCGACGCAGGCTTCCCAGCACGCCAGGGCCTTGCTTGGCCAGCAATTTCCTTACCCGGTTTGCCTGGTTGGTGGAGCTTATCTCCTCGGTGAAGTTCCTCCAGGAGGCTGTTCTCCAGTATCTAATACGTTTTTTGTACTTAGCTTTGGTAGCTTTGTAGTTGTTCCAGTCTGTGTCGCTGCATGTATTCATTGCTCTGTTAAGGCACTTCCTCACCTTTCCTCTCAATCTCTCGAGCCCCCACCAGTGGTGTTTTCCGGATACTCTCGAGTTCGGGAGTCTAAGGGGGCAGGCCTCTTCGTAGCAACGCGTTATGCTGTCCGTCAAGTGTTTTACCTGTTGTTCTAGCTGCTCCGTGGTTTCAATTCTGCCCTTACCGGAGTTGTTTCTTAGAAGGTCCGCCAGTAGTTGTGCGTAGCGGTGTTTATCGGTTTTCCGAGGGTACCTTTGGGGTGTAGGAGGTAGAGTTCCTACCTGTAGTGTAAAACGGATCCAGCGGTGATCTGAGCATGATGCCTCATTGGAGACATGCCAGCCAGATATAGCTGTTGCCGCTCTTGGTGTCGCGAGGGTCAGGTCTATGATGGTCTTGCACCGTCTGCCTACGAAGGTAGGTTCATTGCCTGTGTTGATTAACTCTAGGTTAGTAGTCAGAAGGAATTCAAATAATTGGTTACCTCTGTTGTTGCTTTGTTCCATTCCCCACACAGGGTGATGGGCATTGGAGTCTGTCGCGATGATCAGTTCTACGTTTTCCCGAGCACAGAAGCGGACCAGAGACGCAACGTTTTCTGGTGGGGCCCGCTCGCTGTCAGGCATATATGCAGAGGCTATGATCACGTCACAACTGTTATTATCTTGGTTTAGGGTCAGTTTTACAGCGCAGAGATCTCTGGAACAGAAATTCATTAAGGGCTGTGTTCTGATGTTTTTGGAAATGTATATGCAGGACCTTACGTCGCTAGTAGTGGCTTGAACGAGCTTACCTCCTATACTGGAGAGTCCTCGCACCGTGCCACTCCTAATCCACGGCTCCTGGATTAGTGCGACTGCTGTGTTGTTGGTCTCCAACCCTACATGGAGTTTACACTGTATTTGAATTATTAAAATTGAAATATTTTAATCAATGATTTTGTTTAAGCTATTTCATAGACAGTAAACACCGCAGATAAAATCATCAGAGACAATATTAGAGTTCAAAGTAATGAAATCAAATAATTTATTGCACACAAGGAAAAAGTGTGTTAACTGGGCCCAAGAGGTGATACTTGACATTATTTTGTAGTAAAGGTCTCTTTTTTTTTTCTGGTGCTTCGCTGGCCGTTGCTGCTGCACGCTCGCTGTGCTCGCTCGGCTCGCGCGATTTGGTCACAACACTAACCTAACCTAGTGTGAAATATCACCTCTTGGGCCCAGGAAGTACAATATATCCGGCTACAAAATTTATATAAAGTACCTTACATGAACACTGTGAGTATCACAATAATTGGTGACTAATGTATTGTATTATTATAATAATGTATTGTAGTCTCTGAATTATACTAAGATTCTAATTTATATAACTTAATTTGCCTAATGCTTATATGTCTTCTGATTTAATTAATTTTTACTATACTTGTAACTTACTCAATTTTATCTGATTTAAAATAAGTATGTTAAATTTTCAATGATTACAATTTACAATATTATGTCGACATGAAGAGCCTTTGGGAAGGCCTATGCTCAGCAGTGGGTGTCGTATAGCTGACATGACATGTATGTCTACAAATACAGGAGACACCCCTTCCTTCTCTTATAATGACTAAGGCCCGTATTATAGAAAGATTCTCAGTGATTGATCTATTCTTGAGCATAGTTAGAAAGGGATGTCCCTAAATATAGCACATAGCGGCATCCCTTTCTAACTGTGCTCAAGTAAAGATCAACACTTAGTAGTCATTTGTAATACGGGCCTAAATGTTTCTATATTGTGATTTTTTTTTAATTTTACAACTATCTTAATGAACATTTTAGTTGGTAAATCAGGCGGTTTAATGTTCCTCAATGTTTTCTAAATCAAAACTTTATTTGCTATTGCGTGAACCTTAGTCTGTGCAGCTGATGCTCCAATTAGAGTGTAAATTGCTTGTCCATCTCTTCATGTTATGCCCTTTTTCTTACAGAACTGGGGCAATGTTTGGCCAGGACCAAAGACATTTCACCCGTCCTCAGTGCCGCTGCCTCTTCACCAGGGTTATGTCCCCAAAGGCCAGGCCCCACCTGGAAAAAAAGCCAATGCTGAGCTGATGAAGATACCCAACTTCTTGCATTTGACACCACCAGTGATCAAAGCACAGTGCGAGGCCATTAAACAGTTCTGCACTGAATGGCCCAAGCAGTTAAACTCTGAAGAAGCAATCGAGACTCATTATCCTGTAGAAATAATTTCCTCAGATTACTGCCATGCCAGTCCAACGATTAGGAATCCACTGTCCAGAATAGTGACATTACGGGTCAAACTTTCAACACTGAACTTAGACAAGCATTCGAGAGACAAATTCTTGAGATTAGTCGGTGATCGGTACGATGAGCAAACCGACTTGGTCACTATAACAGCTGATCGGTGCCCAGTGAAGAAACAGAATTTGGAGTACGTTGACTATTTGCTGACAGCTTGCTACCACGAATCCTTGAATGTTGAAGAGTGGGAAAAGGACAAAACTGAAGATGACATGGAATATTACGATTGGCACAAAAATGCTTCGAAGAAAAGTCTTGTCCAATGGTTTTTAAGGACTAACAATGAAGTTTGTGATTTGAACGATGATGATTATGTACAATATGATGTGAGTCAGATACCTAATGCTGAAGGATATGAAAAAGCTGTCAGCAGTCTGATGAACGATGGAGAAAGTGAAGAGACGGTTAATAATTATGCTATTGCAGTTCGGAAGCTATTGGGTGTGCCAGAAAAGAAGATTGTAACTTAAGTCTGTTGTAATAAAGTATATTTAGTTTTATCATTTGTGTTTTATCTATATATTTAAAACTCAAAGGTGACTGACTGACATAGTGATCTATCAACGCACAGCCCAAACCACTGGACGGATCGGGCTGAAATTTGGCATGCAGGTAGATGTTATGACGTAGGCATCCGCTAAGAAAAGATTTTGAACAATTCTACCCCCAAGGGGATAAAATAGGGAATGAAAGTTTGAATGAAACTTTGTCAATTTTAAACCGATCGGGCTGAGACTTTGCATGCAGGTCTAAGAAGAATCATAGATGAATGTCATTGTGTGTAATACAAGCCTGAGAACAAAAACTGTAGTCTACACTTCAGCTCTACACCGAAACGAAGCGAGGGCGGGCCGCTAGTTTCTTACATGGCTTTTATCACATTCTTATTCCATCTATAGGGAAGGACTGTGCCCCACCAGTGGGGACATTAATAGGCTGATGATGATGACAATCGTATTAGTTAGTGAGGATTTCATGGATATGGATATCGTAGAAGTTAAGCAACTTTCTCAATGGTCAGTCATTGGATGGGTGACCAAAAACTAGTAATCTCGAGCTTCTTCCTGCTTCGTTAGGCACGTGAAGCCGTTGATGCCGGCTGCATATGCTGTCGTTAGTACCCACCAATCCGCACTGGGCCCGCGTGGTGGGTCACGGCCCAATCTCCATATTATTCCATCCATAGGGAACGTCTGTGCTACTGGTTGTTGTATTAGAAACTTTTTTAATTGTCATGTCTTTTATAAAAAAATATATTTTGTCACTTGACAGAGATAACTCAAAATGTAATGGTTTTATTTTAAAAACTTTTACTTTAAATTACATATATTTAACATGGCGCAGTCGGTAAACTAATATTTTTTATTGAATTAAGATAGGTGCGTGTGAAGTGAAGTATATAAATATAATATAAAGTGATATAAAGTGATCATTTTTCAAAATGCCACAATCTTCGCAACTAGCCGAAGAAAGGAAAACATTAAATCAATTCTCGCATATAGCACTTCCTTCCCAATTATCTTGGGAAGGTAATTTATCTGAAAATTGGATGTTTTTCAAGCAAAAGTTCGAAATATATCTGCTGGCATCAGGAAACAGCGTAAGTGATGATGCGATAAAAACAGCTTTGCTACTAAGTGCTGTAGGTGATCGAGCATTGAAACTGTACAACACTTTAACATTCGAAAAAATCGACGACAAAAGGAATTTTAATAAAGTAATTGAAAAATTTGATGAACATTTCTGCCCAGATAAAAATGTGACATACGAACGATTTTTGTTTTTTACCCGGAATCAAAAAGAAGAGGAGACATATGAAAACTATGTAATGTAAATGTAATTGCGTGACTTAAGTGCATCTTGTGAGTTTGGACCACTAACTGAGAGTTTAATAAAAGACAGGATTGTATGTGGAATTTTAGACGTAGCTGTGAAAGATCGTCTTCTACGTACGAAGGAATTGACATTGTCTAGAGCGCTAGAAATATGTTGCACTTCTCAACGAACAAAACAGCAGGTTGAAGCCATTACGTCTCCAAGTGCGTGTTATTCGGGATTGCATAATTTTTTATCACAAATTGACAAAAGTGATAAAAAAAGTTTGAATATGGTTCGCAACAACACTAAAGAGAATATTTATCCATCAACCTCTGCAGTTAACACACATGTGGATATAAAACGTCACTCTACGTCACAGCAGCAAAAGAAACGAAATGGATTTATTTGTAAGAATTGTGGTTATTCTCATGACAGATATAAATGTCCGGCTTTTGGAAAAAACTGTTTAAAATGTGGAAAACGAAATCATTTTTCTACAAAATGCAGAAGCATTAGCGAAATAAAAGAAAACGATGATGAATGTAATGAAATCGATATGCTATTTTTAGGTGCGATTTTTATCAACGCTGTTGTCAACTCAAATGATTGGTGTATTACTTTAGAAATTAATAATTTTCCTTTGCAGGTTAAAGTGGACACAGGTGCACAGGCGAATATTTTATCTGACGATTCATTATTTTTCCTTGGTATAGATAAAAATAACTTAATATCAGTTAATACTAAGCTCACCACATATACGGGCGAATGCATTCCGTGCCTAGGTCGATTCTCTCTTTCGTGTAAGTACAATGACAGAATATTTTATCTTAACTTTTATGTTGTTTCTGGACGCTATACTAATATATTAGGACTTAAATCGGCCATTGACATGGAACTTGTAAAACCTTTGCGTGAAATAGAGAAAAAAGTAGATATTTTTCAAGAATTCAAAGATGTTTTTGAAGGTTTAGGTTGCATTAGAGGAGAGTATGATATTAAAATAAAAGAAAATTCGGTGCCTGTCATACATGCCTGTAGAAAAGTACCCATAAGTATAAAATCTCGATTAAAAGAAAAGCTGAATGAAATGGAACGACAGAATGTAATTATGAAAGTGACACATCCAACTGAATGGGTGAATTCGTTAGTGATTGTTTACAAACCGAACGGTGATCTGAGACTGTGTGTAGATCCGAAAGATCTTAATCAAGTGATTATGAGGCAACATTTTAGCTTACCCACGTTTGAGGAAATAACAAGTAAATTAGCAGGCGCTACTGTTTTTAGCACACTGGATGTTAAAAATGGCTTTTGGAATATCAAATTATCAGCAGCTAGTTCTGACCTTTGTTGTTTTAATACTCCGTTTGGTAGGTACAAATTTTTGAGAATGCCGTTTGGTTTGTGTAGCGCTTCGGAAGTTTTTCAACAAAGAATGAGAGAAGTATTGGAAAATTTAGAAGGGACAGAAGTCTTTATCGATGATGTTTTGGTTTGGGGGAAAAATCAGGTGGAGCATGATAGACGTTTGCGTTCAGTTTTGGCCCGATTAAGACAAGGAAATATTAAATTGAATAAAGATAAATGTAAATTAAATTTAGCTGAAGTTAAGTACTTGGGCCATATAATTAGTAAAGGAGGATTAAAACTTGATGAAGGAAAGATTAGGTCAATCGTTGCAATGAAAAGCCCTCGAGACAGGAAAGAACTAGAAAGATTTTTAGGTGTTATCAATTACGTTTCAAAATTTATTCCTAACTTTGCTGATTTAAGTGCTCCTCTAAGAAATCTTTTGAAAAAACATTGTGAATTTAATTGGTTGGAAAACCACGAAAAGATTTTCCAAGCTTTGAAGAAAAAGCTGGCCTCGGAGCCAGTTCTTCAGTTTTTTAATGAAGATCTTCCTGTTATACTGTCCGTTGATGCTTCAAAAGATGGCCTTGGAGCAGTTCTACTCCAAAATAACCTTCCTGTTTCATATGCTTCTAAAGCTTTAAATGACTGTCAAAAGAGGTATGCTCAAATTGAGAAAGAGCTACTCGCTATCCTATTTGCTTGTGAAAGGTTTAATCAGTTTATATTTGGTAGAAAAGTAACTATTGAAACGGACCATTCCCCACTGATTTCTATTGTTAAAAAACCATTAAACGCATGTACTGCACGTATTCAGCGAATGTTACTTAAGTTGCAAAAATATGACTTTGAATTAATTTACAAGCGTGGCAGGGAATTGTATTTGGCTGACACTTTGTCGAGATCTTATGATGACAAAGATTTTTTAGAAATCGATTTGGATACTGACGAGATTGAGGCACAGATTGATTTTATTGTAAGTAGTATTAATGCGTCAGAATCACAGTTAAATTATATTAAACAAATGACAATGGAAGACAGTGAATTGATTCTTGTTAAAAAATATATATCTCAGGGTTGGCCATCTCACAAAAATTCAATACCGAGTATAGTTAGAAAATATTGGCCCGTTAGAAATGATTTGACCTTTAAATCAGATATTATATTTAAAGGTAATAGTATTGTTATTCCGTTTGGACTGAGGCGAGAAATGCTAAAACGTTTACATTTTCCGCATCTGGGTATTACAAAAACGCTGTTGAGGGCAAGAGACTGTCTCTATTGGCCAGGCATATACAATGACATTAATAATTTGGTTTCTTCTTGTAATATCTGTAAACTTCATAGTAATAATAATAGGCAGGAGACACTGATACCACATGCTGTCCCACATTATGCTTGGCAAAAAGTTGCAGGTGATTTATTTGAACTGAATGGTAAAATGTATTTACTAATTGTTGATTATTATTCCAAATATCCGGAAATATCTTTATTAAATAGCACGACAAGTGAAGCTGTTATTAATCATTTAAAACAAATTTTTAGTCGTAATGGAATTCCTGAAATATTCGTTAGTGATGGCGGTCCTCAGTTTTCTAGTGAAAAATTTCATTCATTTTGCAAAGAATGGAATATTGACCATAAATTTTCTAGTCCTGAGTATCCTCAATCCAATGGTATGGTGGAACGGACAATTCAAACTGTCAAGAACTTACTTAAAAAAGCTTTTTATGAAAAGAAGGACCCATATTTAGTCATGTTAGAGTTAAGGAACACTCCTATATCTCTTGAAATCCCTTCACCTGCTCAAATTTTCTTCAACAGAAAGATAAGAGGTATTCTGCCTTTGTCTTCAAATAGTTTAAATCCAAAAATCTTTGATAATTTAAGATCCAATTTAGAACAGAAACAATATAAAAGTAAAGTATATTATGATAGAAATAAGAAAGACTTAAGGCCACTAGTAAGGGGAGAAAAAGTTATTTTTAAAATTGGGAAACAATGGAGAAATGGTGTAATCATATGTGCATTGGATAAACGAACTTACAAAATTATTTCTAATGGTGTTCACTTTATCCGTAATAGAATATATATCAAACCTTTAGCGTTTGTTCCTTTTTATATTCCGGATGATATTGACGTTCCTCATAGTGTAAATAATTTACCACCAGAGCAGGCCGGAAGTAGGCCATTGATGAATAGAAATTCAGATGGATATTTGGTAACTTCATCAGGTCGTGTAAGTCGCCCGCCTGATCGATTTGGTTTTACTTATAAATAGTTTTATTGTAAGTTTTGAGTGTGTTGTGTAATAAATATTTTTCTGTTGATATAAAAAAAAAAGATTTTTTTTTGTTATTAAAGAAGAAGGATGTTGTATTAGAAACTTTTTTAATTGTCATGTCTTTTATAAAAAAATATATTTTGTCACTTGACAGAGATAACTCAAAATGTAATGGTTTTATTTTAAAAACTTTTACTTTAAATTACATATATTTAACACTGGTGACAGTGTCAAATGAGAAATTTTTACAATAACCCCTACCCCTACTATTGCCCAAGCCCAAGCCTGCATTTTCGAGTGGGGTAGACTAAGATCGAAAGGGTGGGCGTGGCTCTTAGCTAGGGTAAGCAGTCACTCTAGTCTGGGTAAGGGCCCCTTAAAATTGGGTAACGGTGTTGGGTAATATGCGGGATTTACGCATTAGCGAGTTTCCGATATTTCGGTGCCACGGAGGAACTGACCGCTAAAAACGAAGGAACATGGTAACAAACCCGTAAATAACATAAATTACTATAATCATATTATAAATTATTTTAATAAGTATTGAATTTTTCTTTGAAATTCGACCCTATACAAAGGGGACAGGTTTTTTTTATAGACAGGTCCGACAAATGACCACTCTAACTGCGGGTAGGGATGTTGAAAAAAATATATCAATATCGGCTTCGATATATCGCGAAAAAAATATCGATATATCGGACCAATTTTCCCAAAAATATCGTACAGTAGCTCACGAAATATGACACGCGGAATAATAATGGAACGAAAATTATCTCCCTAAAAATAGACCCTATTTTCGAATGATGAAAATCATTCATTTGAGAGTTAGATCGTGATATGCCGCTAACAATTAAAAAATATCGTTTTTGATACGAATTTCGATATTGGTTATTTTGTATCGATGTATCGATATATCGAATCAAAATATATCGGCAAAAAATATCGATATATCGATACATCGATATATTTTCAACAAGCCTACTTGCGGGGCTTTGCTGTAAAATTTTCACGCTTGAATCTATATGAGAAACGCGTGAAAATTATATAGAATAGCCCCGCTGATGTTAAGTGACGGTAGGGCTGCCATCCGTCCTGGTTTCCCCGGATTTGTCCTAGTTTACGGGGCGTTCGGAGAGCGTCCGGGCGGGGTTTCATTTGTAGTCCGGGTTTAAAAATTTTCCTGTTTTGGGTCGCCAATAAATCCGTCAATTTAAATGTCTTTGATAATAAATAAATCTTTTCTCTTTCAAAGATCAGCTCTGTCGTTCACGCTGTACGCAGTAACAGCATTCATTGCTATGTGGATGACATCACTGACACTTTTTACACTGGTCGGTCAAACATCCCTCGGATGGAAGAAGAAGGGTATAAAGACAGACTTGTGTCCGAGACTGAGATGTTACTGGATCAAGTCTCAAATTTGAGCCAACAAAATTTTATTGGATTAACCCAGAAAAGACGCATAAGTGTGTGTGAAAAAGCTTGGGTGCTTAATAGATCTAGTAAGTACCTCAAGCCTAAATGTCGGGTGTTACTTTACAAAGCACTGGTCCTTTGAGCTGGAGCATAGAGTACATTGTTATATATAGAAAGGCTGGAGCACCCCAATACCAGCTCCTTCCTCTTGACCGGATACAAAAGCGGGCAGTTTGACTTATCGATGATCCTGAGCTCACTCACGCGTTGCAACCCCTTAGCATGCGCAGACGGTACAACACGCACAAGAACGCAACTCCTTATACGTGTTGTACCGTCGATACAATGGAGTGTTCCGAGGAATTATTCACTCGGATGCCAGTGGCAAAATCTCCACAGCATCACACACCGCAGAGAAGTTTAACGCCCACCATCTGGACGCCTGGCGTTCGAGCACCATGTGTTCCTTTCTTTTGCGTACCAGCAAGATCTGGAACGAACTTTCCTCAGTATTTTTTTCTTATAGCTATGATATGGTAATCTTAAAAAGGCGGATGAATCTTTTCGTTCAGAGCCGGCAACGCATGAGTGGCCCTTGGTGCTGCAAGTGTTCATGGACAGCGGTGACCACTTATTATGAGGTGGACTGCTAGCCCTTTACATACATCAACATAAAAAAGTTGATTTGTGACATTTTTAATTGTTTTTTTATTGGTTTGTCTGGGCTCCAAAATCTGGGGTTATCACGCGTCTTGTCCTGGTTGCCACATTTTAGAGTTGGCAGTCCTAAGTGACGGTTAAGTTCATATGGGAAAATAGCTGGTACAGCAGTTCTACCTGCGATACCAGCCATCCTCACCCTGCCGACTCACGCCTCTTTTAAAGGATCCCAGGTTGTAAGGAGGGAACATGTATGATGAAAGTTGGATTTTACAAGGTGCAAGGTTCAGCTTACAACAAACATTTTCAAATAGTTAAGCGAGCATGTTCAGATAAAAAATATATTGCCACTTGCCACATACGCTTCAATAAATTTAATATTAGTGGAAGCAATAAAAGTTTGAAACGACATTAAATTTTCACGTGTGTGTGAACTGTGTAGGTAGGTAGTTAAGTATGTTTTTTTTGTGAAATAGCTGTGAGATGGGCAATTTGGGAGTGTGTTTTTTATATTTCTTATGTATTAAAGTTGTTTTGGCCAATATAAATGAGGAGAGTAAGTATTTTTGTTTATTTAATCAACCTAATATGTATATACAGGGTTACAGGGAAAGTCGTACTGAATATTAAAGAACGTTATTATTCAGGTCATTTCTGATGGATTTGGTCCTATAATATGGTGTCCGAAACTTAACCGTTATGGAGATATTGGATATTAAAGATTTTTTTAAAAAATCCTATATTTTTTGGGTTTTTATCGATTTTTTTGAAACTAGAGCTCCAAAGGTCCGATTTTTTAATGTATCTAGTTAGAAGACATCTCAAGCAATAAAAATAATGAATAAAAACTGAATCTACTTCTAACGGCTTAAAAAAACTGCTCGACAACGTTTATAACTAAAGAATTTTCACCAAGTGTTCTTAATTTTGAAGCACTTTTCTAAAAAAAAAAGTATGGAACTTATTCTGCAAATAATTTTAAAAACTTCTACGTCTCTTTAGCTATTCAAAAAGGTATAACACATGCTATTAAATTGGCAAAACATTGACCAAATAACAGTTATGGTAGCAGAGGGTACATTTTTAGTTTGAGGTAAAAATAGCAAAAATACGTAAATAAAACCAGAAAACCATAGTAAATATTTTTATAATTCATGTTCAACATGACCGCCGCTATTTCTAGCTATAAGTCGTGGCACGAAACTCTAGCGCTGACCGTTATTGCGCTGAAGTGTTTTACTTCTGCCTTCAGTCGCCTTTGAGTTTTATATATATAGATGGAGCCGGCTGCACGCGCGAAAAAACATGACTCATGCGGCGTTACCTCGCTCTGAGGCGTTCCATTTAATGCTTGAAGTGCAAGCGAGAGCGCGTAACGAGCGACAAAGAGGCACAATCGGCCTCCGCGTTCGGCAGCGTTCGACATCTGTCTCTCTCCTACTTGAGTGAGCGATGCGTCCGCGTGGACAATAATACATTTACATGTTTTCGTCAAGTATGAAGTGCAATGAAAAGTGGATGTGGTGTTTATAGCAACGATAATTGCGGGGATAAAGGTAATGATGTCACACATGTTTAAAAGTTGTAAATAAAAGTTGCTCAAGCATTCATACTTGTAAAAACTATGTACATTGTAAAACACCGTTGTCACGTTCAACTATCGTCAGTAAAGCGACTTTACAGACAACCAATTTTTATTTTAAGTGTGTATGCTGTTGGTCGCGGATGACCTTTACAGCGTCACCGGGTTTGGGGACGGAGAGATGAGAGATTACATTACATGAGAAAATTTTAACTTTACAGCGGACTGGTCATCCCCTCGGATATATGTTGTTTGGCCAAACGCCACCGTACCGTTTTACATTAATCCAGAGCACTTTGGTAAGCATTATACAAATGTATATAAGTAACAAAATAGTATGGCAAATAACTTGAACACAACATTAGTGCGCACGGAACACACATCTGAAGTGAAACTTGTTTTCTTAAATAACCTAACATTAGGCGGTGCATAAGGCATAGGGGGGGGGGGGGGGTGGAGCAGCGCCCACATCACTCGACACTCGTAGCGTTTAAACCTTCACCAAGTTACCCTCCAACTTTGTTGTTCGTCGGGAAAAGCTGCGCACGCATCCCACACACACACACACACACTCACACACACCACACACACACACCCACACACACGGTTCCGCAGCCGCAGCGGGAGCGGGAGAAAATCGCGCCGTGAGTTCTTAGTGTAGCTACACCTTAGATGATTGAAACAAAAAGGTAAGATACGGCACTTGCGGCTCAAAAGTGATCCGCTTAAATTGTGGTGCATGACCACAATTCGCTTTAGTCACAATTGGACATTCAAACACGCTGCATGTGCACTAAATATAACAATATTGCGTATATTCTGTGTTATAAAGATAAAACAATGCCTTCGATACTTTTATAAACAACACAAATAGTTCAAGATCAAATAACAAATTTAACGGCTAAACTTTTCATTCGAAAACTGAAATCTTTTTTTTTCTCAAATATCATGGTTTGTTATGAATGTTATTATTTTTTTCGCCATTTGTTATCAAGAAAAGGACAACAATACAGCTCAGCCATTTGTAGAGAGCAAAGAAAACGCATCCGCCAAGCCAAGCTACAGGGCTGCCGTTTCTCGCCGTTTCGTTCGCGCTGCGTTAAGCGTAGTTCTGTCTCGCTCGCTCGATTGAATGTTTATTTACAGACGTGCAGGGCCGGATTTAGAGGTCCAGAGGCATCGGGGCAACAGAGGAGCGGAGGCCCCCTCACCCCAAATTATTTTCCAAATAAAGTAAATATTTTTTTTTCAGTCGAGTTTTTCAATAAATAATTTATTGTGAACCAAGTAGATTCCCTTAGTATTGAACAAACACATATAAATATAAACGGAAACAAGAATTATCTGAAATTAAATCTTAGAGTTAACGAACGGAACCGAAAAGATGTTTACTAGTGTTTACTAGTTGGAATTTGAAAGATTTTTTTTTCCGAAGTCTCTATTGTGGAGGCCCCCCGTTTGTGGAGGCCCCGGGGCTTTCGCCCCGGTTGCCCTCCCCTAAATCCGGTAGTACAGACGTGTGCGTGCGTGAGAGTTGCTTATGTAGTTGATTCGGATCATATTTTATTTGATGCTAGTATGAGCATACCGTATTTTCCCTTTTTGTTTCAATCTAATAGCCTCTCTTAAAATTCGCGCGGGTGGCGCGCGATGCCGCGATCAACACGCGAACGTTGAGTGTGGAAACCAATTTCATCAAAAATCTTCTCTTTTTATAACGTCAGCGAATAGCTTCTGATATATATTCTCTTTACAAATGGAGGCCTTTCGCATATTCTTCGTTTGTTCCCAACGAGTCACACTGTAATCTTCACGGGTTCGCGCATTGTTCACCGATTTTGTCGGTTTTTTGCCCGCGTCAAAGGGGCCGCGAACTACGAACATGTCGCAAAAACGAGGCAAACGCATGTAGGCTCCACATTCCCGCACCGTTCAGTGTTGACGGAGCAGCCGCGTGAAGTGGTCGACTTTAGGTATAATTAGAATAAACGGCAAAATTATAATGTCTGACTGGGATCGAGATATTGCCTTTGACAATATACAACAGAATGAACTCAACATTAATACCGAGGTCACATCTGACGATGAGTCCAGTTTGTATGAAAAATCTGATACGTCTGAATAAATTAAAAATAAACTAAGAAGACATTTACATAATGAACTTTATATAATGATACTATTTTAATTACTTAGTTTCTACCTTACAATTTGGTTGTAGGCATTTATTTTTACTGATTATGTGTAATCTGTGGCGCAATCTTAGTTATCAGTATGTGTGGCACATCACTAAGTGGGCGGCACCCGTCCATGAATATGAAATATAATTAATATACAATATAATTTGTATGGCATTTTAATGTAAACAATATATTTCATGGGCGTCGATCTATCAAAAAGATAATATTAGAATGGACAGACTAAAGAATTAAAAATTTTTGAGCTGTACCAAGCTGAGCTTGTTCTATGGGACCTACGTTTTTTCCATATCTTTTGATTTTTTTTTGTTGTTTTATTTATATTAGCGTAATTATAAATTGCCAAAGCACAAAGTAGTCCAGCAACAGAAGCGGTTTCAACGTCCATCCTCGTCAAAAGCGCAAACATCTGCGAATGTGGAACTGTGGTTGTTTTTCTGCGAATATCAAAGTGATTCGCACCGCGAATATAACGCGAAATTCGTTCGCGAGTGTTGAGAGGCTATAAGAGCAACAGACATTTGCAGGCCGGTACAGCTGATTCGCCAGTATTCGTCGAACAACAAAACCAACCCGTAGTAATTACTATCGAACATACATCATTACTTGAGGAGCTTGATGGCGCAAGTGGTTAGCGCGTTCGGCTGCCGTCGTTGAAGTTAAGCGACTTTCGCAGTGGTCGGTCATTGGATGGGTGACCAAAAATTTACTATCTCGAGCTCCTCCGTGCTTCGGAAGGCACGATAAGCCGTTGGTCCCAGCTGCATCTGCAGTCGTTAGCACCCACCAATCCGCACTGGGCCTGCGTGGTGGGTCATGGCCCAATCTCCCTATTCCATCCATAGATAATAAATCTACATATATTCGATTTCGGTTTTACCGCCCGGCTGCGCCGATTAATCTAAAATATAGAATCAATCACACTCCTTATAATACGCTTTATTCATAAGAACTTTTTTAATAAAAGCTTTAAATTTATTGGTGCTCAATTGTTAGATATTGCTAGGGACTTTATTGTAGAAGCGTATACAAAGACCTTTAAATGAATTACTGATTTTGTGGAGCCTTGTAATTGGTACAGCTGAATTATTTTTATTTCTAGTATTAAACAAGTGTTCATCATTATTTATAGGAAATAAATTAATATTTTATTCAAACATACAAATAAATATATTCGTTACCAGACCACTACCAGGCTCTGACCATAATGTCTGCACTTACGTCCTTCGCGTACCAGACCTGCTTGAAATTCGCGCCGTCGCTCACAGCCCCCAAAGATGGCGCCCACGTGATGGTATTTGAGAACCCGCACGGAGTCAGGAAATGCGTCCTCGACACGGAGGGCCATCCCAGAGACGATGCACATGTGAGTAATGTACCATTTTTTATGAAGGGGGAGAAAAAATGCATTATATCCACGACAATGACCAACGCAGCGTTGGTTTGCTGTTAACAAAACCTCGCGACGATGGTAATTGCGTGGTGCATTGCTGGCTAGCCGCTTGGACTGCGGTCCGTGAGACTAGTCCGGTGACGCTGTGAACGGAGAAGCCCAAGATCGGCTAAAGCGGGTGCAGCCCTACGACTAGAGAATGGAACTCCTTGCCAAGGTCCGTTTTCCCGGACCAATATAATCTGGACATCTTCGAGAGACAACAGAGTGAACAGGCATCTTCTAGGCAGGCGTGTACCATCCTAGGCCTCATCATCGCTTTCCATCAGGTGAGATTGTGGTCAAACGCACTGCCTATTTTGCATAAAAAATATAAAAAAAAGCCCGAGGGCCGCTAGTTAGTGCGGTTATACTTTGACTTGCACTCACGCAAGCGTGGCATACGTCAAACCACCCCGCCTTTGACCAGCAGCTCGGTCCGCGCTCGCTTTAGCCGATCCTGGGCTTCACAGTTGACAGCGTCACCTGACTAGTCTCACGGACCGCAGTCCGAGCGGCTAGCCAGCCGACCAGCTCCCGTACTTACCAGTTAACCAACTCCCCGATCTACCCCTCACCTCACCTCCAGGTGTAACTGTGGGTTTCAGTTATAAGTCGCCGCTTGTTGGGCCTGGGTCCCTACCCCCTCGCGATGGTGCCGAGGAGCACCCCCTCTATGGAAACATGAGAGTAATGTACCTAGCGAACTGCCCTAGCTTTGTACTGGTTAACTTCATTTTAATACGGCCTAGATCACTGTTGAACTCTCTTTATGGTTTCCGAGAAAGTTCAACTTTTTTGGAATCAGAAGATAAACCAAACCATAAAGAGGTTTTTTAATAGGTCGAATCTATGATACGAACAAGGATGCATGTAGTGTTGCCACACACGGGCCACCGACCGCAACCACAAAACGCCGCCACCGGCATATTTCTTGTAGTTTTCATACATTTTATATGGACTCGCCACACACGGTACGCCGGCCGGTGGCCGCCACACGCTACAAATCGTCGTTGCTCGCTTCTTGGGGCTCGCACCGGCCACTTGCGCCGATACAAAACGCCGCCACACGTCACTCGCGCAATTCCCCACCCCTCTCTGCCTTACCGTAGTCGGCCGCAGTCGCGCGCTTCAGCCACTTAAGTAGCCGCTTCTAGCTTGTCGTTGCGGCGTTTGTGGCTGTGGCGTGTGGCCCTTGTGCGGCGACACTTAGTGATGGCATAATGAATCTGTACTTACTGAGACGATCCTGTGTGGACTGGAAATTTATTTATTTTCTGATAATATTTTTGGTTTGTGTACATGACACAAACAGCCAACATTGTTCAAATCTCATTTTTAAAGTGTACGAGATTTCTATTTACCTCGTATCATGTAGAGGTACTGCAAATTCTGGAACGTTAGAGTTCTCATACGTTTGGAAACCCTGCGCGGCGCGGCCTCGCCCGCGACAACACAGATCGTAGGATAGCACCTTTACGCTAACTCACTGACACAAACACAACGTAGTGTTATTTCATTGCAGTCTTCTGTAAGGTGAAGGTGAATTTTCACAGAAGGTCACTCCACCGAAAATTCCATTTTTTTTCTGAATGGTTTCGCAAGGTTTGTGCATTTAGCCAATGTCAAGTGTTAAAATGTTTACAAATTCTATAGCACTCGTGGTAAAAGTAATAAATCAAGTCAAAGTAAGTAGCAGTCAAGTCAAACCGCCTTTCCCTATGTTTCAGTAAATGTGTGGGGATTTACTGGAACCTACCCGTGGACTTCTTGAGGGAACGTCGAAAGACACTTTCCGCTATTTTGTTTCACTTGCCAACACTTGTGCATGTTCCCGAACACTTAGTGGCTAATAATCCACCATTATTAGACACTAACATCCGCCACAACGCAATTTTTAACAAGAAAAACAAAACTGCTGAAGTGACGCTTCCCGATCCCGCCAAAAAGAGAGTCGAAAATTTCATTTATGAATTGCCACTCCTAATTTTTCTTCTTTTTTTTCTATAGCGTGTGATACTCGGATACGACTGCCTCAAGTCCCCAAATATCGATATGGTCCTAATGAGGGCTTTGGGCTTTCCCTTCGAGCACAACAGAAGTATCAGAGACGACCACATACAAGTACTATTCGAGAACATAGAAACGAGTAAGTTTAATTTATTTCTATTTTAAAGGTTCCGTAACCTCGAAAGGAAAAAAAGGAACCCTTATAGGATCACTTTGTTGTACCTCCGTCCGTCCGTCTGTCAAGACCCTTTTTCTCAGAAACGCGTGGTGGTATCAAGCTGAAATTTATATATATATATATTTTTAATTCCAACACACACCAATTAGCCTAGCCCCAAGGTAAGCACTATAAGACTTGTGTTATGGGATACTAGGGTAACGGATAGAGTAGTATATACTGTACATATATAAGTATATTTTTATAGAAATACATATTGACAGGAGTACAAACGCTCATATTTATCAAACAAACATCTGCCCCCACCGGGATTTGAACCCGGGACCTCTCGAGTCGGCGACACCATGAAACCCGGCGTACAAACCACTCGGCCACTCGGTCAATATTAAATACTTAGGTCTACTGTCCCTTGGAGCTGTGAAAAAATCAAACTTCTAAGCCAACGCAATCAAAAGATACAGCCGTTTGTGCCGCAAATTTCTGCCAATATTTGAAACTCGTATACTCCTTTACTTCCCGTGAACTCAGAATCTAAAAATTTGGTACGCTTTACAATAGATTATGAACTGTGGTTATGAATAACAAGCGCGTGCCCGCCAAAAACGGGTCCTTGAGGAAAAGTGTTGTCAGGTGTCCCGATTTCCGCGGGACGTCCCGATTTTTAGGGGTCTGGGGTCGCGTCCCGATTTGTACCTGATCGCTAAATGTTCCGATGAATCAATAACTGTAATTTAGGTAGTGGATAATTCTATACTTGCATGAGTACTTTAAAATGCAATAAATTATACCCAGACTTAAAAACTGTTGTTATTTGTTTACTGTCCCGATCTGCAACCCTAAGTCCCGATTTTTTTTACCACATGTACCGATTTAAAACAAATCGGACTCGGCAACACTATTAAGGAACTACCCTTTGCCTTGCCGCAAACACACCCGCGCTCCCAGCGTGCATTGGGGGGACTGTGGGCCTCAGAATGTACGCCGGGTGACCGGTGCAGGAGTATTTTCTGGTTTTAGTGGGGCGTTAGGTTAGGTTAGGTTAGGTTAGGTTTTAGTGGGGCGTTAGGTAGAGCCCTACTCATTTCACCCGGCCCAAGGGCTGGCTGTAATGAGCAGGGAGGAGTCCCACCTACCTTCTTCTCGCTCCCCGTTGGTTGAAAGATGCATAAGGCATTTCCCGGCCAAAAAAAAAAATGTGTGTGTCAGCTCCGACGCACGACTGGAGTTTACTCCTTAAGTTCGATAGTCTAACCAGACGCAAAAAGAGTTTATTTAACTTAAAAAAGATTGATACTGTATGAAAGGGTAAATTAACATAAATTAACAATTAATGAAAATAATATACATATATAAATATATATTTATTCATTTCATATACATTTATTATAACAAAAAATATTTTACATTAAACTTTTTACAATAGTCAATTTCAGATGTGCATAAATATATCATTAGGAATGTTGATAATTTATGTAATTATTATTATCAGACTATTATCATTTTTTTAAATATTAATTAAATCAACATTGTCTGCATTATTAATTACAGTGACAAGTGGTTTATGGTAACTAAAATAAGACACATGGACGTTTGTAGATACGTGGTTCACGAATCTTGAAAATACCGCATCAATGGTTGTACCATACCTCGTTGTCCCCATTGCTCTATCAGGAACAATATCTAAATTCAGTTCAGATTTTAAAAATTAATTATTAATGTCAATCCGTCATCTTTGTTTATCAAAGTTGCGCGACATAGGATGCGCACCAAAAACGTAACGAAGTCATTCATCGATAGATTTTACTCCTCACATTTTTCTCATACCGGGCCCCTTATATATGCAAATCGATTCTTAAGGAGTAAACTCCAACAAAAAACAGGCTTCATAAGAGTGGATTAAGAACCTCTGATCAAATAGTAGGTACCCAATTGTCGATTTTCATCAACGCAACGTGAATAAAACGCTGCTTATACTAACTTAGCTAAGTTTCCATGTAATAAAATAGCATAAAATATGTGATTACTGACTGACTATCCGAGCCAGGGTTATCAACTTTTTGACGTGACAACGTCTTAAATTAGGTTGCGGCTGGGAGTCACTTATGAAAAAGTGTAACGCTCGGTAACGTTACGATGAGTCTCTCGTGTTAAGTTTAAGTTTACATGTACAATGTTTTAGTAAACAAAATATATTTCTATAGTTAAAATTTGTGCAATTCTTATTTTCATTCAATTCCTTGTTCCTATTGTGCAATTTAATTATATTCATATCAATAAATATTCTACCGAGAAAAAGACGTTGTCACGTAAAATCTTCGCCCGTAAAACCGACTTTACAGGCAACCATTTTTTTTCTATAAAATATAGTACCTATTTTCGAAGCTGTTACTTCTAAAAATATAGTGGATGGCAAAAAATGGAAAAATATAGTATGTGGTTAAAATATCTACTTTATTATATTGTTTTAAACTTTCATGGTCACTAACATTATAGTAATATAAGTTATTTACGGGATTGACTCAGTAACTCAGTTACTCCGTGATCATGGCGCTTGCAACAGTGCCGAAATATCGGAAACTCGCTAAAAACAAGGTACATGGTAACAATCCCGTAAATAACTTATATTATCTACTTTATTTTTAAAATTCAATATATTTTTGCTCTTTCAAGCCTTATTAATTATTTTTTTATTTTTAAAAACTCTTTTACTGGCAAAAATCTGCTTTAAGCAAAATAAAAAGTAGTTTAATATATTTGTTTCTTAGGTTTTCACGCACATCACTCATTAAATAAAACTAGTTTTAACGGGTTAATGCAAGAAATTATTAAGATTTATTCGTCAGAATACTGACGATTTCTGACGATGCAGACCTGAAAAGGCTGCGAAACGTCAATAAATAAATAAAGTTTCGTGCATTAACTTGTTTTATTTAGTTTTATATAAATTAATTTCGCCTATTATATTTTTTTTTAGAAATATAGTATTTGATCCCCTTATATAATAGTAAGGTTGACAACCATAAACCGAGAGAACAGAGAACAGTTTTGTCCTCTCAATTATATCGTACATAATGTTATTTTATTATATCTAAGAAGAGACTCTGCAAATAAATATAAATTTACTTACTGATTGTCATTTTATAATTAACTAGTGGCCTGCCGCGACTTCGTCCGCGTTTACATTAGTATTTTTGAGAATTCCTTAGTAACCAAAAATTTTTCCAGGATAAAAATTAGGGGAAACCAGAGAGACTTACCGAGGTGGGAGAGATGAACCATCTTTCAAAATTGTTTTTTTTTGAAGTTATACTTCTTTAGGCGCGTTATGAAAAAATGATGAGAGTGAAATTTTAAGATGCGCGCGCATCACTGTAACACAAATTATTAACAGTTACGTTACTTTTGTGTTTACCGCACATTAAGCAAATCTACCAACAAAATAGAATCTCTATTTAGTGGGTGCTAACGACTGCATTGTGAAGGCCTATCAAAAGTATTTATTTTAATCTAGCGCAAACAAAAAGTTAATTCATGCATTGGTTAGATGTGAGACACCAATCATAACAAAACAGTCTATGGTGGTCTATGCGTCATTAGGGTATTTGACAGTATTAAAAATAAAGTGCCAATTGTTAGCATCTGTATTTAGAATGAATATTGGCAGGAGTTTTTACTATTTTTACAGAAAAATTTTCATAATTTTACTAAAAACCCACAATAAAGATAATAGTTTTCTTGTCTATTGTCACGTGACCCAAAACGCTTGGGATTGGTGGAGCCTAAAATGACGTCACACGCAAGTAAACTTCCGGTTAAAGTGACATTTGTTTGTATGGTTTGACGTTTTAATGACAGTCGGGTGACGTCACACCAGTGAGACGCCATATCGTCCAGAAATACGTTTTCGCGGCAACTTGAAAATAGAGTTTTTGATTTATTTTTTTACCGAAATACACAACATAATGATGAATATCCATATCTTTTTATGGACTCTATAAACATTTGTAAATAACGTGAGATCGTTTTCTAAAACTTGTCAAATACCTATTTAGTAAATAACGCTAACAATAAATAATAATAATTAATAGTTAACGATGCCAGTATCTTTGGAACCTTGCCTAAAGGCACTTCTTTTAATAATGTATTTCAGTTATTATATAAAAGGTGTTTAGTTATAAATATCTTACTATTTGTTCTTTAGTTAAATGTACATACATGTATATATTGTGAATATCAATCAAAAGTTCCTAAGCCTTTTATAACTGACGTCAATGTAGTATTAAAGTCACATTCTAGGTTAATCAAATTATAATCATGAAATAAAATAGCGCTTTTTCTAGTTAATGAACTATAATTATGTAAGTCAAATTTCTTCCAAATATGTCGCAAAAGGTTTTTGGGTGATTGAGTAACATTTATCTACATAGGGGTGATGACGGGGTACAGTAAACGAAATTCTATTTAGTCCGTCAGTTAGATGATCAAAAAATAATGGACACGTATTTTTTCTTTGGCCAATCAACCAAAAAATGACAAAGTTATAGCGCGTCAAAGTTTGGGAGTAGGGGCTCGTGACGTCACTTTTAAGTGAATTTTCACTTAAAAGTGTACTCAAACGTGACGTCATGCGACTTTTCAAATCAATTTATCTCTGCAATGTTAATATTATGTGAAAAAAGAAAAAATACGTGTCCAATACTTTTTGATAATCTACCTGATAAACGAAGAAAAAAAATTGTCATCAACCCTATTCAATTCAATATATTTATTGTTTCATGTGGTAATTACAAGTTCTTACGATTTAATTTCAGTTCCAAACATGAACCCTGTAAGGGCACTTCAATATCAATATACAAAAAATAAATAAAATACACATAATTATAATCAATCATAGTAAAATTTAAGATTACAAGTAGGTTCGCTATCTTTCATTAAAAAACTCTTGCATATTATAGAAGGCTTTTTTCCATAAATATTGTTATGTCTATATTTTTTTAAGCATTTAACTGCTAGATGTTTCAAATCTAAAGGACCAGGTAGCGGACGGGACTCGAACGCGCACCCTTCGCAATCCGGGCGAATGCACTGACTAATTATGCTACCACGGCCCTGATGGCCGCGTCGAAATTTTCCTAGTCTTAAGCTGCAAGGCAGCGCCATCTTTTCGCATTGTAGGTAACCCACAATGTCAAAGGAATACTTTTTCAAGTATTATACATTTGAAAGAAAGAAATAGCAATGAAAGTTATGTTTTTATTTTTTTAAGCATTTAACTGTTAGATGTTTAAATCTAAAGCAAAGTTTTAATAGAAAAAAAAAATTTTTTTCAAAATTTGTGAAGTTTTTTTACGTATTGTTTTAGGTAATTTATTATAAATTTTAATTGCGTTTACACAGACATCCATACAAACTTTCTTGTTAATTATATTAGTAGAATGATGCATACTTCATTACGACACAAACAGTGATAAACAAACAATTTAATACCTGCCAAGTGTTCATTATCACTGTAAATGTACCAATGTACACCGATAACGCATCGTCAATAATTAAATTCTGTTATATTCCGTGATACCACAATCAGTCATTGTGCCGCGTACTGCGAGAGAAGATGGCCGCGCAAGATTACAAACTTTTCGAGAATGTTTTCATCGAAACGAACCTCCAATCCAGTGACTACGATGCTGTTATACTCATCGTTTATCCTGATGAGTTGAAGGTGGACTTGCCGAGACACGTCAGGAGTTACGTGAACGACATCACCAAGTTAGATAAGCACGTTCAAAAAGTAGCTACCGTGTGGAACTGCGAATATGTGTCTGGTGGTAGACTCGTGTTGTCACCTACAGGTAAAATCACTCCTTATCACGACGTGGTAGTACTGAAAGAAGCAGCAAAGAAAGGAGTTCTGAGAGCGCTTGACGCAGGCGCTAAATGCCCTTTGCTAGTCGTTCAGAATGTCGTCGACTTCCCTGATGGACAATTGGTCGCTATACTCGGAGCTTTAGAAGCGCTGTACGTCCCTTTGCAGCTAAGAGAACGTGAAGGCACCAAGAACTGCACAAAAATAGGATTCCACGCCGAAGAGAAGGTCACCAAGGAGTTCGAAAAGGTAGTGAGGAACGCCATCGGGCTGGAGAGAGCGAGGATCCTCACCAGAGACATCGGCGGTGCGGATCCGGAGAGAATGACTCCTGCTAGGATCGTCGAATACGTGAAAGCGTCATTCGCTGACGACATCTACATTAAAGTGAACGTTATAGACAACGAGGAAGTTATAGCGAAGGAATATCCTCTTTTAGCCGCTGTCTCTAGAGCGGCTAATCGCGTGGACAGACACAAACCGAGAGTGGTGGAAATAGTTTACATACCGTCCGACATTGCCAGAGTTTCGGAGACCTTAATGTTGGTCGGGAAAGGAGTGACTTACGACACTGGAGGCGCCGATATCAAGACAGCTGGTAAAATGGCCGGCATGTCCCGAGACAAGTGCGGTGCGGCAGCTGTCGCTGGCTTCCTGAAAGCTTGCTCAATATTGAAACCTAGCCATCTGAAGGTCGTAGGTGTGATGTGTCTTTGCCGAAATTCCGTTGGCGAAGATTCGTATGTTCAAGACGAGCTGCTCTTGTCACGCAGTGGCAAAACTGTGAGAGTAACAAACACGGACGCGGAAGGGAGATTCGCAATGGCGGATTCGCTTTACAAAATGGCTGAGCAGGCCGGCGCTGAATTAAACCCCCACATTTATACCATAGCCACGCTGACTGGCCACGCGAAGCTCTGTTACGGTGACTATTCCGCAGCTATGGACAACCATAGCGCTAGAGCGAGTAATCATTCTAATAGACTACAATTCAGTGGGTCTAGGATTGGGGAGGGCATCGAAGTGTCTGTGGTTAGACAAGAAGATCTGGCTGTTAATATTGGAAAGTGTAAAGGGGACGATCTTCTGCAAATCGATGTGGAAGCTAAGGGACGAAACCATCAGCTCGCTGCAGGCTTTCTGATTAAAGTAGGAGGTTTGGAGGACAAGAATGTGAAGTACACACATTTGGATATCGCCGGTGGAGCTGGTATGCCGCCTCAGGAGCCGACTGCTGCGCCGATTCTGTCTTTGTGCCATGCGCATAAGGTGCTGATGTAAAAGGTTCAATGTTAATGATCTTAGCCATGTTCAAAGGGTTGATTTTAGTGTGTAGCAAAAAGTTAAGTTGTTCGCTACCGGCTCCAATAGTGAACAGACATGCAATATAATGAAATGCCTAGATTTAGAAAAGGTAACTTGCATAGCTCGTAGAAAACCCATCTTTACGCGATATAGTCACGATACATTGTGGGCAATAAGCTTCTTAAGCCTTGATGACACGGGGTAAGCTCGCCCAGTGTCATCGGCTTTTTTACCATCTGCTACTCGATACTATTTTATTTTTTATTTTATTTATTTGATGTACAAACAGGTGACAAACATTTAGTACAGATTTATCTTCATTATCACACAAAAAACAAGGATGTAACCTCTAATATGTACATACTGAGTGACTAAATAATAGAGAGTGAGTGAGTGCTTGACATGCTAAGCTACAGCCAAATCATATCATATTTATAATTTTTTAAATTGATTACTACTAGCAATAGTTTAAATAATTATAAATGTTACAAATTAGCAATTAGATTCTTCTTAAATACTAAAGATCTACGATCAAATCTATCTATCTACGGGGCGAATTTACATGCTACTAGCGAACTGGCTTGTAGCTTGTATACTCGCCCCATGTCATCGAGTCTTTAGTTATTTAGCGTTTTAGGTATTACTAGCAAACCAGTGAACCAAATGTTCACCAAAACCTGATTTAAAAAAAAATGTATTTAATTAGTTGAGAACTTCGGAGATTTTGTGTGGTTTCGTTTGAAATTCGTGATTTCTCGAAAACCGGAAGTGCTACGTTACTCAAATCCGGTTTGTAGTCTATCAGACTATTCTTAACTTATAACTTAAATATTCTCTTTATATATCTCTTACGGTTTGGCCGCTGAAACAGCACCACAGGCAGACGGACGGACGGACTTGTCTAATAGATAAGAGATTGGAGTAGTGGCATGGCATCTGCCATTCTAGGCAGTCTGCTTTTTAATAAAATTGACGTGTAGGCATTGCAGCAGTGGCTTCTTGCATTTCAAGCATTGTGCTCAAAATCGAAGCTTTTTTGTTGTACCAGTCATCAAAGTATAACTTATAAGGCTTAACATAACAAAAGAATAATCGAAAGTTGGGGATTAGTCAAACTACTTAACATAGGGTTATGTAATAAAAATAAATCATTATCTTTTAATTGTTAAGGACAACAACAGAGTCAGAGTGAAAACATATGCAAAATTTCACGAAGGCTAAATTCACAACAGTAAATTTTTATAAAATTACATGAATTATTAACATTACTGTTTCAATACTGTAAACTACAAAAAAAAATATCAATAAATAAATATGTCAATAGAAATAAATAAAAAATGAATTTCAATGTAACTACTTAGATGTCAATTCAAAACTATAAAAATAACTTGGATTTAAGATACATTACCATTTGGATTACAAATATTGTAATCACAATGAAAAAAAAAAAATATTGTCAATAAAATCCAATATTATACTTATGTAGTAATAATTGTTTTGTCGTTATAAAGATTACGGTTGCTTATCACAATGTATATTTAGAAACAGAACTTTCATATCTACACAGTTCATATTATACATACCTACGTTTAATTATTAAATCTATTGTATGATTAAAAAGTTAATGTTTTCATTTGAGGAATAACTTTTTTTGTGACAAATATTTGTATGTTCTTACGGAATTATTTATGTACAAGCAAACCAGTGAACCAAATGTTCACCAAAACCTGATTTAAAAAAAAAATGTATTTAATTAATTAAGAACTTCGGAGATTTTGTGTGGTTTCGTTTGAAATTCGTGATTTCTCGAAAACCGAAAGTGCTACGTTACTCAAATCCGGTTTGTAGTCTTATCAGACTATTCTTAACTTATAACTTAAATATTCTCTTTATTTATCTCTTACGGTTTGGCCGCTGAAACAGCACCACAGACAGACGGACGGACTTGTCTAATAGATAAGAGATTCTTTTTACAAACTCAAACTTATTTTTTCAACAAAACGTTTTTTTTGTAACAGATACTTGTATATTCTTACGGGATTATGTATGTATTCTTTAAATAAAAAAAGTTAATCAGTTGGTAAAGATTTTTTTTCTCTACATTTTTCTTTGTAGATAGATCCGACAAATGACTCCGCCTCACCTGATGTTAAGTGACGGTGAAGTCCTAACGTTTAGATAGCTGGTACAGCAGTTCTAGCTGCCACACCAGCCATCCTCACCCTGCCGGCCTGCATGTTGCTTCTTCACGCCACTTTTAAAGGATCCCAAGTTGTAAGAGGGAGGGAACATGTTCACACAAGAACAGTAGTTAAATTATGAGACTACTGGGAAGTTTTTATCTATCACAACGAAACTCGATAATATCAAGTAAAGTATAACTTTAGGAATAAATATATTCTGCCATAACCAAAGTACAAATTAAATATTATATTTTTAAGCATTTTAACTGCTGGATGTTGAAATCTAAAGAAAATGTTACTAGAAGGAATTCCACGTGGACCAGGAGCTCTATTTTTGAATCACTCGCCTTGCGTCGAACGCTCGATTTCTATTAAATTTCATTCGACATAATTAATTCAATATTTTTGAATCGCTCGAGTGTAACGAATGGGTGAGACCACTCGCTGCATGGCGAATGGTGGAGGCGAATGATAGAATAATTGTCAAATGTTTTGTGCTATAATACGACGATGATCTATCATTGTCATGCTTTATATGAAACGACAACGAGAATTTTTTGTTCGGCTTCCATTGCGGTAATTACCGGTTTTTATTTTTTCTGCGTGAAATGAGTAAAATTTTACATTTCGTATTAAACAGGTAACACCGGTGACGAATGATTCAAAAATACGGAAAGTCAGTATTATGCGACTTGAAAGTCAAAGGTGACTTATGTCGCATTCGACGATACTATGTCAGACGAGTGATTCAGAAATAGAGCTCCAGGCAGCACACGGGACTCGAACGAAGGGTGCGGATTCGAGTCCCGTCTGATGCCTGGTCCCCGTGGAATTCTTTCTAGTAATATTTTCTTTAGATTAAAACATCTAGCAGTTATATTCTTTAAAAATATATATATATCTAACTATAATTGTTATTTCTTCTTTCAAATGTTTAATACTTGTAAAGGTATTCATTTGACATTTTGGGTTACCTACAATGCGAAGGATGGCGTTGCCTTGCAACCTAAGAAATGCTAGACTAAATTCGACACGGACAATTAGGGCCGCGGTAGTATAATGGTCAGTGCATTCGCCCAGATAGCGAAGGGTGCGGGTTCAAGTACCGCCAGTTGCCTGGTCCGCTAGGATTTTTTTTCCTGTAAAATTTTCTTTTGAATTGTAATTTTCCCAAAGGTGCCGTCGAGTTATTCACAAAGGACCCTCAATCGCCAGCAGCTCTTCAGAACCTACCTTATGACATCGACAGCGTATTGCACTTCAGCGAGAGGGACTACAGCAAGAATGGACATAGGACGATCATGATTAAGGTAAACTGGAATGAAATGAAAAAATATTTATTGACCATCATAACTCGATGAGATCGAGGAGCTCGATGGCTACATCTGCAGTCGTCAGCACCCACCAATCCGCACTGCGCCCGCGTGGTGGATTATGGCCCAGACGCTTATATGGAATCTATACCTTCACACAACTCTCATGACGTCAGAGACCGCGTTGCCGTCGGGTATATTTTCAAATCCAGTAAACAAAAATCATTTCAATAAAGCGTACCTTTATCTAACATTTGTGACGTCACTGGCGCGAGTTGATATCGGGTATACATTCAGATTTAGTATACGCCCGCGTAAGTATTTTAAAACATACCCGACCGCAACGAAGCCATCGTTCGGTACTCTTTTGGCACGTTACTATTTAAATCGTTCTATCCTTTGCACCCGCTGGCTGACGCAATATTTTGTTTGTTGCATCATTTTGTGACCACGTGCGAGTCAGTACTGTTTAAAATGTGATTGAAGATTGTTTTTCATTTGTATTTAATTTAAAAAAAATGTCATAAGTGCATAGTACGTTGCGAAGATTATTATAAAGTGATAACTATATAGTTTGTGATCCTTTTAGCGTAAAAAGTACCTACGAATAATGATAGATAAAGCCAGTTTAGAGGGTTTTATAACCGAACAATGTGGACTTATCGAGAATCTGGATTTTGAATCGGAGGAAAAGTACTCCATGCGATTTAGACTGAAGACTGAACAAAATGAACAACAAGAACGATATGTTAAGTTTATCGACGAGTTTGTTCAAAAAATATCAAATTACAAATTTACGAACACTAACTGGATAGTTCGAAAGTCATATCCTTCGTTGAAGCGCTTCTTATTTCGAAAAACCTATACATGTCAACATTCATCGTTCAATAAAAAATCTGAGAAGTCGTCTCGTGGACAAAACTGTAAGGCTAAAATAGACTTTGTTATCAAAAAAGTTAACAAGGACACTATTCGAAACGACAAACTGTTGTCGCAAGGGTATAATGTGTTAGTGACCATAGTTTTTCTCTACACTCTCATCGCGTTTACGTTGCCGAAGCTTTGAATTTACTAAAATGCAGCCAGGAAACCGAAGAAACTTTTATGAAATATTTTGATAGCGGAATGACACCTTGCGCAGCAATAAATTACAACGAATTGAACGTACTGGACTCGTTTCAAGATACTGATCTAAATGGAATAGAGATGTTATCAAACTCTCAAATAAATCCCTCCGAAAATCATGTGTACTACATGTACAATAAATGGCGTACTGAAAAGTATGGCGACCGTAATGAATGCAATCTCCCCGAAATCATACAAGCAAAAATTGAGAGTTTAAATAAAAAAGGCTACTCGATACTGTTAAAACAAAATCCCAGGATTATCGTGATAATTACTCCTATTATGAAACGAGTTTTTCTGTCTACTGCATATGAGAATATGATTTTTGTAGACACAACATCATCGTGTGACCAGACAAGTTCTGCGATTACTCTAGTTTTTACACATCACAAAATCGGTGGGCTTCCATTGGCATGTGCTATACATACTGAGCAAAATGAGTCCAATTACACGATGGTTTTTGCCGCTATAAAAGAAGCTGTAGAAAAGAACGAGGCGGGTAAAAAATTAGAGCCGGATATTGTTATGACGGACGATTCTACTGCCGAACGAAATGCTTTGAAAACTATTTTTCCAAATGCTCGATTACTATTATGCGTATTCCATGTTTGCCAAGCCTTTTGGCGTTGGCTTTGCGTTGCAGATCACAAGGTTGACATAATGAAAAGGCAGTCCATCATGACACGATTTCGAAATATTCTTTTTATAACTGATCCAGAAGAAGCAGTAAAATTGTATGAGGAATTGACAGGTGACGAGGATGTTAAGACGATGCCAGCTCTATTAAATCATCTGAGTAACTTATGGAAACGCCGGCCTGAATGGTGTGTCTCTGATCGGTTGGATTTACTTACGCGAGGAAACAACACCAACAACATAACAGAAGCATCTATACGCATTCTTAAAGACGTCATACTCCAGCGATGTAAAGCATTTAATGCTTGCGCATTAGTAGATTTCATAACGTCCATTTTTGAAAATTATTTTATGCGTCGCATTGTTTCTTACGCCAACACACGAAAAACCAAGGATTCCATATATGCAATGTTCATGAAGACTGCTCGAAATATTAAAAATATATCTAAAGTCAACGATAAGTGTGGAATCAGAGACAAGCCCAAATACTTTTTACACTGTGAGAGCCGATTTAGCCGTTTGCGACTGTGACGCTGGAAAATGTGGAAAATTCTGCAAGCACCTGTGTAGCATTGAGCAAAACTTTGGAGTTATATTTCCCAATTCTCCTCGGCTTTCTATTCAAGATAGAATGTCACTCGCAAGAATTGCGACGGGGGATGAGATTAATGAAAATTTCTACATGAATATGATAGATTTGGATCAAATACCGAACAATGATTTGGATTCGATAGGATCGCAGTGCTCTTCCTCTAATACACAAGAGCAGATACAGGTAGTACCACAGTCCTCTTCCTCCGATACACAAGAGCCGATACAGGATGTTGCCAATTCTTCATCTTACAAGCAACAGGTTGCTGTAGAATTCCCTCACCAATATAAAAATGCACTCGCAGAGTTTAAGACTGAAGTACAACGCTTCACAAAGTTATTTGAAACAAACCCCACTGTCCACAATCTAAGAGCACTGGGAAAATTCACAAATATAATCAAAAAAATTAATACATCAGAGCAAGGACAAAACTTTATTTTAAATCAGATAATAACAAGGCGTGTACCAAGGAAAATTAAAGTTCAAAGCACAGCGCTGAGTAGACGTAAAGATAGAGGAATAGGAAAGACCAAGTCTAGGATTCAAGCTGGGCGGCCGTCTAATACAGAACGCAGAACTAAACGAAAGCACAACTTAGGCCAGAATGTTAAAATGAATGTCCGTAATGCGCGCTAAATTAGTATTTTTAATTTTATAATTACTTTATTTTTAAAGTAACTAATAAACGTTTTTTATCCACTTTTGTTCTCGTATAATTTACCTCAATCTCTAACCTATAAAATAAACGTCCCTTTATCTGATACCGACCCAAACGAATGTTGCGGTTGGGTATATTTTGAAATCCTTAACACGACGGTTCACATTTTTAAAGTATGCTCAAAACGAATGTTGCAGTCGGGTATATTTTAAAATCCTCAACAAGGCGGTACATATTTTTATGGTATACCCGAACTCAACACTATAGAGCGTTGTGTGAAGGTATAGATTCCATATAAGCGGCCCAGACTCCCTATTTCATCAATAGGGAAGGCCTTTGGGAGATTTGGCCATGACCCACCACGCGGACCCAATGCGGATTGGTTCAGTTGTGTATGAAGATACTATTGAGGTGCAGCAACTTTCGCAGTCAGTCAGTCATTGGATGGGTGATCAAAAATTTACTATCTCAAACTCCTCCGTGCTTCGGAAGGCATGTTAAGCCGTTGCATCTGCAATCGTGACCACCCACCAAACTGCACTGGGCCCGCATGGCGGGTCATGGCCCAATCTCCCTATTCCATCCATAGGAAAGGTCTGTGCCCCAGCAATGGGGACATTAATAGGCTGATGATGATGATGAAGCTCAGTTCGGCATTATTTGGTGCTGATGACAACTTATAGACCATCATCATAATCAGCCCGAATCAGATAATGATCCATATTGATACGAAATGTGTCTACTAAATTAAAGTTTTGAATTGCATCTATATAATATGGTCTCGATTGTAATTGTGATTGTTTTACATTGACAGTGGCGTCGATACTGGCATGATTCTCTAAACCTAAACTTAAATTTGACAACAGTGTATCCTTGTCATTCTCTATACAAAATAAAATCGAGAGAGACTGATGTTAAACTTTGATTTAATTTTAGAAATTTCATGCCAGCATCGTCAACAATATTTTCAATACGTAAAAATTAAAGCCAGAACTTTATTTCTACGTAATGTAATATTATTCCAGACAAACACCGGCTCTACAAACAACCAGAACCGCAAAGGCCTCTCCCCATTGGATTTAAAGAAGATAGATATAGTATACGGTCCTGAATGTCGAGCGAGAGATCGCCAAGAGAAGATAGAGCTATGTCAAAACTACCCTGGAGTAGCTAGAAGGAAAAGAGAAGTAACGGTTGAAGTAGCAGAAGATACTAACTTGAGAGTGAATCGCGATATAACACCACCACCCACTCCGTCTGTAGATGAACGCATCAAAGACTTGGCCATTGAAAAAGAAATGCAAGATGCTATCGAGCAAATATATAAAGTGTCCGCAAAAGCATTGACCGTAGCCCGCGGAGTTTACTGCAATCAAAGTGAACCAAATCCCAAAGTTAAGGACGCCAATGACGTTCAAAATAAACCCGATATCCTTAACATAATCGCAACCATAACAGAATACGTTAAATCAATGGTAGATAAAGCGGTTGGAAACATGCCGGAATTCTGTAAGGCTTCCGAAAACATAGAGGTTTACCAAAGAAATCACCTCGGCAAATGTCCTTTCTACGGCGGATATCCTTGCCCGAAGAATTACAGATCAACTAAGTCTGGCGCAGTTAAATATTCAACACACCACAGACCAGCATATTACCAATCTACTAAAAACAAAGGAAATCCATACGTGCCTAAACAATTTGTGCATTGGCGAGCTTCTGGTAACGCTACGGCCAATTCTACGGATAAAAACGCCGAGAGGCAAGGTTCTTTAGATGAACATACAATTACAACAGTCAAAATGGATAAGGTTAAAGACGTAGCAGATGCAAGAAAGCACAAAGATATTGGGGATCATACAACAGTGTACCGTACTAAAGAAACAGGAATAGAAATAGACGTTATTCACGATAGAAAAAAACGTGACACAGATGACGAAGGCAAAAGAGTAGAGGTTAGGAATAGTGATGAGTTACATGAGAAAGTGAAGGCATTAGAAAATGATGGGAGTGTTCATGCTAAGGATATACCGAAGAGGACTTCAAGGTGGGAGCACAGGCGAAAATTCCAGTAAGTAGAAGCTTTTTAACTGTATCATGTAGAAAGCAAATTGAATAAATTTGAAAGTTTAAAACTACAACAATACATGTTTTTATTATAAAAAAAATGGGTGCGTGTACTTATGTAGGCGCGTGAGAAGTTATCCTTCTTTGGCATCGTTTAAAATTAGTTTTTAATTGCATGCAAATAATTAATTACAATAAATTAATAAAAAGTCTGGAAAAGGACACAGTCAATAAAGTTCAGTTTTAATTTGAAAAAATAAATAAATAATCAAAATATTCAATTAAAATCGCTACTGAATATAATTTATTACAACATATGTGATTTGCAATTGTATGAAACTCAAACACGTATTCCGAATATACAAACTAGAAACATGTGGATAAATATTATAAATATGAATACCTATAACTGTTACTTTATTACAAAAAATAAAGATGTGGTTTTTGGTTCTACTACATCAATGGTCAAGAGATGGCGCTGTAGTCTCCTGAATCGCGCTTTGGTTCCGTTGTTCCAGATTAATAAATACTTTTGATAGGCCTTCACAATGCAGTCGTTAGCACCCACTGAATAGAGATTCTATTTCTATTTTGTTGGTAGATTTTCTTAATGTGCGGTAAACACAAAAGTAACGCATGAAGTTGGTCGTATGTACGCGCGTGAGAAGTTATACTTCTTTAGCATCATTAAAAATATTTTTAATTGCATGCAATTAATTAATAATTACAATAAAATAATAAAAGGACTGGAAAAGGATAGTTAACACAGTCAATTAAGTTCAGTTTTAATTTGAAAAATTAAATAAATATTCAATTAAAATCACTACTGAATTTAAGTTATTAGTCCATATGTAATTAGCACTTGTAAGTAACTAAAACACGTTGTGTCTATATAGAAACTAGAAACATGTGGATAAATATTATAAATATGAATACAGTGATCAGAGGCGACGAGCGTGCCAACATTGTTTTTGACAACGCGATCATCTTATGGAGCTCCGTGGATCGTTCAAAGTACCTTTCGAACAGATGTCTAATAATGGTGGATTATTAACCACTTATTAGACACTAACATTCTTAACGCGCCCGCGGCCAACTTCATGGTGTTACTATTGTGTTACAGTGATGCGCGCGCATCTCGAAATTTCACTCACATGATTTTTTCATAACGCGCCCGCGGCCAACTTCATGCTGTTACTTTTGGGTTACAGTGATGCGCACGCATCTAAAAATTTCACTCTCATCATATTTTTTCATAACGCGCCTAAAGAAGTATAACTTCAAAAATATATATGAAATATCACATCTTTAAAATCATGTTTTTCGTTTGCGATGATGCTCTGATTATAAAATTAATATTTATGCTCGATTATAAAATTAGTAAATCCAATCCCGGACCTCTAATATTTGATATTTGTTACATGTATTATTCCGTCTAAGTGTCGCCGCACACGGGCCACACGCCACAGCCACAAACGCACCGCCACGAGAAGCTAGAAGCGGCTACTAAAGTGGCTGAAGCGCGCGACAGCGGCCGACTAAGGCAAGGGAGAGAGGGGTGGAGAATGGACGTATGGCGGCGTTTTGTATCGGCGCATTAAGTGGCCGGTGCGGGCCACAAGAAGCGAGCAACGACGATTTATAGGGTGTGGCGGCCACCAGCGTACCGTGTGTGGCGAGTCCATATAAAATGTATGTAAACTACAAGAAATATGCCGGTAGCGGCGTTTTATGGTTGTGTTCGGTGGCCCGTGTGCGGCGACACTTAGACGGAATAATACATGTAACAAATATCAAATACTGGAGGTCCGCCAATAATTCATACCAAAACAGGAAGTTGGTCAATTATATTTATTCTTTTTATAAATTTTGAAATATATACGCTTACAATATTGTGTAATATCTAAAGTATTTTTTCAAGTTTTCATTTTAATAATGTTCTTCTATTCTTTACAATCTGGTTGTGAGTAAAATAGAAATTAAAAGAGTTATTTTACAGAATCTTCTAACTTTGAAACGCATTAGGGAAACCTACAACATCTGATATCTTCTACAATTTCTATAAATACATAAATGGAAATAACATATCAAATAATGGTGTCGATTCTGACATGATTCTCTAAACTTAAATTTGACAACAGTGTATCCTTGGCATTTTCTACACAGAATGAAAAGGAGAGACTGATGTTAAATTTAGTTTTAAGTTTAGACAATCCCGGTGCAAATGTTTGAATGCGATAAATACGAGCATTATGTGCCTTAGTGATTAAAATTTTACTGGTAAAAACACGCGATCCAGGCAGCAGACGGGACTCGAACCCGCATCCTCCGCTGTCCGGGCGGATGCGGATGTGGAGGCGAGTAATGGATTGAAGGGTATTTGACAAGTTTTAGAAAACGATCTCACGTTATTGACTAATTTTTATGGAGTGCGTATATTCATCATTCTGTTGTGTATTTCAGTAAAAATAACCAAATAAAAACTCCATTTTCAAATGGCCGCGAAAACGTTTTTCTGGACACTATAATAATAATTTTTAATATTGTCTTACTAGTGTGTGACGTCACACTACTGTTATTAAAACGTCAAACGATACAATGTAATGTCACTTTAACCGGACGTTTACTTGCGTGTGACGTCATTTTAGGCTAAGCCAATCCCAAGCGTTTTGGGTCACGTGACAATAGATAAGAAAACTATTATCTTTTTCGTGGCTTTTTAGTAAAATTATGATTATTATTATTTTTTTGAAAAAATAGTAAAAACCCCTGCCATTCATTCTAAACACAGATGCTAACAATTAGCATTTTATTTTTAATACTGTCAAATACCCTATTTGGTTCATCTATTCTTTGTACGTACTTTGTATAACGGAATCCTAAACTTTAAAACAATTTCATAATAGTAATGTTATATTTTTTATCTTTTATGATTTTTACACAAAACTAATTATGAAAATGAAATATTGTAGATTTAGGGTACGGCCAGAGTGCACTCAGATTCAGATTCAGACTCAGAAAACAAGCGCGAGAAATATACAGTGTAGTTTAAGCAGGTTGCCTGCTGCCACTATGGCCACCCTGCTTTAACTACACTGTTTATTTCTCGCGCTTGTTTTCTGAGTCTGAATCTGAGTGCACTCTGGCCGTAACCTTATAGTGTCTAGTTTTAACCATCGTTCAGTTACCTTTATCTATTTAATTATTCAGATAATAGAAAATCGTTGCGCCATCAGTTTTAGCTGATTATCGTGGAATTAATTTATCAACGGTGCTATTCTGTAATAAAATCCATCCATGACGAGATTGTTTTGACTACCCGCTACCTACACGAATGCAATTTTGCATTTTGCTGAAGTTTTCGTTGTTATTAGCTGTTAACTAGTGAATTTGAAAGATGTTGTCCTTCCCGATAAAACTATTAGCGGGGATTTACTAACTCAGGTGCAGCAGAATAACATGTAGGGGAAAGATCTTCCTTTGAGATGTTATATCGGAGACCGCGGCCCGACTAGGGTTACCATATCTCAGGATTTGTCCTGAGATTTCAGGATTTTTGGACTCTTCTCAGGATTCCGGCTGGATTTTGCAAATCTCATGAAATCTCAGGATTTTTTGAATTTCCAATAAAATACAGCTTGCATTTTAAAGATCTCTTTTGAAAAGTTAAAAAACTAAAAATATACTGCTATTGATAATAATTGCACAATTAAAATCAGTACTTTATTATCCAAGTTGGTACTTATTCAATTTTATCATACTTAATATGTGATGATACATTTTTAAGTAAGGTTTTTTCTTTAATTATGGATTCATATAATGCGCCACATGTTAAGCTCATCAAATTATATTGATTTAAAAGAATAAGCCGAGTATAAACGATAATATTACGACTTTTTTTTAAATTGTTAAGTACGTTTGCGAGAAAATTCTCAAACTGTAAAAAATCTCAGGATTTTTCAATGGAAATCAATCCTTTTCTCCGGATTTTTGATTTTATCATCCGGTAACCCTAGGCCCGACTGTCATTTTTTCTTTGAGTGTGTATGCTGCTGTTGGTCGCAGATGACCTTTCAGGGTTTGGGGACGGCGAGATCCTAAAGGGACCTCAAGCCGAGAATTGGCGTGTGCCACTAGAGGTATTCAAGGCGGATGACATCTCCCCACTAGATAGAGCCTGTACTAGAACACTAGAGGGCGTGTCTGAACCTCGGACCTCGGTTCAGTTAGCCGTTGTCGTGGGGGGCGGGGAAAACGCCCAGGCTACATACCTGTACCTGGTATAGCGTGTCATGTGTAGACCGGGTCTTCGCAATCTTATCCTTCGGGTGCGGTGTCTGCCTAATACTAAGCTAGTACAGTGTTGCCAATTTAGCGACTTTGTCGCTTGAAATGACGACTTTTGCTTAAGTATAAGCGACTAAAAAAAGCCTTGACGACAAAAATTGTTTAGCGACTTATCTAGCGACTTTTGCAGTAGGTATAAATTAAATCAGTTCTAGAGTCATTATTGGATAAATTTTTAATCAACTCGATACAGTGCCAAGAGATACATTATGGAAAACAAACGCACCAAGTTCAAACTTTATTATTAGTTTGTGCAAAAAAAATGCACGTTTCTAAGTATTTTTAATTTATGTGATTGTTACAATGATTACATAATTAAATTAAGTTATTTTTTTATATGTAGGACAACATAGGTACCTATGTTACATGTACACGATGTGTATTTGAAGTATAAACTTATTAAACCTTATGTTGTTTTTGACGAGTAATTAGGTAAACTACTTTTAATTTTTTTCACATATCCCAACAACCTTTCACACAGCAAGCCGGTGGCCTCTTCTGCCTCTCCCATACAAATTCCTGTTTCCGCGTCTGGTGGAATTAGTTGTAGCGACTTTTTAGCGACTTTTGATGTTGAGTCTAGCGACTCGAACTTCTAGGAGTTGGCAACACTGAGCTAGTGTGCAAGTATGCTAGCTGTGCATGCCCGACTGACTTTGGT